TAGGCTTTTCGCGATACCTGGTCCGGAACGGCGTCAAGCCGAGAGAGATCACGATCCTTACCTATTACAACGCCCAGCTCGAATATATCGCAAAAGCCATCAGCGAAGATAAATTTCTCAGTTCTAAAAACCCCAACAATGAATTGTCAGTCCGAACAGTCGACGGGTTTCAAGGAGAGCAAAACGATGTGATCATTCTTTCTCTTGTCCGAGGCCAGCCTGCCTCGGACCGCCCAACAGCAGGGTTTGTCGAGAACGTGAACCGTGCAGTCGTCGCTCTAAGCCGAGCAAAGAGGGGTCTATATGTGTTCGGCAACGCCAAGAGTATTCTGCTCAGCAGCGCCACCAGCCATGACACCTGGGGCTTTGTCTATGAAACGTTCAAACAGCAGGGCAGGATTGAGGACTACCTTCCAGTATCTTGCCAGACGCATGGAAACATTACTCCAATCCACAAGGCGGCTGACTGGGCACCGATTGTTCCAGGAGGTTGTGCCAATACATGTGGTCTCAAACTCCCTTGTGGCCATGGATGCGTTGCTCTTTGCCATGCGAAATGCAAGTGCGCACATCTTTGCGAAAAGAACAATGAGAGCCTCTCTCAAAAGAGCTCAGAGCCTAAAAGCCAGCCTTCAAGTGTCACGTCATACATTTCCAACGACAAATTACTGCAGGGAAACTTTCGCAGCTTATTCGGCGCACCAGACAGCTCTACACTCCAAGAATCTCTTCGATCTCAAGGTAATGACTACTTGGCTCATCATAGCAAAGAGCAACACTCAGAACCACCTCTTGTGCGGGGTTGGGATGCACAAAGCATTGAAACAAACGACATGGTGCTCGAACAACACCGTAGAAAGAAGTCTTCCTCACAGGGCTCATCTGTTCATATCCGAGAGATATTTACACAAATAACGATTGACGATAAATGCCAACGTGTTGTGGACGAGACCAGACTTCCAAAGTCCAAAAAACCGAAGGTTGAGACTCTGATTGACATAGACGAATAGGAGAGCTCTACGGTCAATGTGAATGAGGATTTGATTGATATGAGTCAGGACCTGATATAACCAGGCTCAAGGCTCAAAATGGCGAAAAGGCAGAGAAAATCAAGGTGGAAAATGGGAGAAAAGAAGAATTGTAACTTGCGAAATCATGCAACACGGGATATCTTCAAATCAGAATAAGGTTTAGTGGCCGGCTGATTTACCTTGGACTTGTTGGGAGACTCCCAAAGCTCATGGCTCCGGGTCTTCCTTATGTATCACGGAATTGGCATCCATTGTTCTTGCTATGCATTGATCAAATAAGATACATTCAATTATCAAACTATGGAGGTTGATTTCTTTTGGGGTGTTCCTCAGTCTTTTCAGTATTAGGCAACAGTATCGTTTGTGACGTTGGGTCGCTGAGAACAAACGAACGCGAGCAAAGAGAATAGATTGATTTGTCCTTTAATCTATTTAGCATCGCCGCCAGTATATCCTTGTGTTGCTTGTCGCGTGTGAATAGTGTGGCAATGCTCCTAGACAGTCAATGCTCGTGTTCATACGACATACGGCCGAGCAACACCAATCCCGACCTATACCAGCTCGTTCAGCCTGACTTTTGCGCACCATTCATCCCAATTACCCATTGTGTTCCTCTTACCAACCTCATTTAGCCTATCATGTGAATTTTCTGTCGGGGGTCCTCTTCCAACGCCCTCCAGACCAGATTGATTCTTGTGCTTGCCATGAAATTCCCGACTCACCATGGTCTCATCTCACGTATAAAAATGAATTGTTCGAGTACAAAAATACAAAAACAACAATAAAAGATACCAGACCCGACATCTCAACACAATAGATAACGCCCTTCGTGTATATACGCTATCCCACAATCTCCCCAGCCCCTGTCTTGCTGGTGAGTTGAAATTGCCTGTAATGAAGAAGATGCCGGACCAGCTTGCTGCTATACCGACCTATGTCGTAGCATCCGAGGATAGCCACGAGCATAACGCAAGCAGATCTTGCCCAGTCTCTCCATTTGCCTCCTCCCTTGTCTAGAAACCTTGCTTTTCCAGCTACACTGACATCCAGGGGCTTTACCCAAAACAATCTGCGAGTCGTGAGAGGGAATCCTGAAAATCTAAGGCCAAATTTCCCTTCTTCTTCGACTTCCAATATTAAATTCTCTCCTTTGTATCCGACTCGCCTCAGAATGGTATCATCCCGACACAGGGTAGGTGGCAAGTGGTACTGATTCGGCGGGTTAACCCTTTCCCCCTTCTGCCTCATTCCCGGTCGGTCCTGGAAAAGAACATGACGAGTCCCATCTTCAGAGATTAGTATGCAGTCATTTCGAGTCTTCCTTCTGTTTGCGCACGAGGTGTTGGGGCAGAGATAGAAGCCGCAATGATCAAAATAGTCACGGGATACTACTCCGCATAGATCGCAACGGATCCTAGGCATATTTTGCGTCCTTTTTTTGTGAGATTGAGTCGTTCCCTCACCTTTGAAGCCCCTAACATGCTTTTTTCTTCTGTGCTGCCGATGGATTTACGGCAGAATTGGCGGGCAGTGGCGGACGGCCTTATACTTGTGGGCGTGGTCCAACACTTGGCCCATGGCATGGGGCGATGTGCTAACAACTCTTGATACAGTTCATGGTCTTGAGGCTCAGGTAGGTATTGTACTTTTCTTGGGTTTTAAAAGCCTACTTGGAAGTTGTGGGCAGGATGTAGTCGGAGTTGCAGCAATTCACACAAGAAGAGGACAAAGTGCGCGCATTTAAACACAACGAAGTTCTTTTCTGAGGGATGTATAGGCTCCGATTCTGATACTAATATTCGATCGGTCTGCAATTCACCGGCTAGTAAATGCTTCAATCATGACTCATTGAAATTTTTTTTCCCTTGGTGAGCTTTCCAGTTCATTCTAGCCGATGATTGTCTTTGTCTGGAAGGTCCTAGGGTAAGCTCACAGCGCGTGCCTCTGCGCACAATCTTGAACAGCCTTTGTCTGTTACTGAGTATCATAGTATGTGAGATGTGGCGATTAAATCTAGCGCGTGGCTGTTTTTTTGTGTTCGAACGACTAGAGAGACAGTCCGGCAAGCCACGTCGAGATCTGAAAGCATTAGAGTTGTATGCTCATGTGTTGGTTTTCGAGTCTGCGAACTCGTCTGTATATGACTGGCGCAACGACGTGTATATAAGTTCCAGATGATCAGGTCATTTATTCTATGCCATGGAATTCTCGAACCATCACAGAAACAATTATTTGTCTGCGCAAAGCGAGAAACACCTCTAAAGAGCCAATTTCCCCGACAACCAGCCAACTTGATCCAGAGACAGCGAAGCAAAGGAATACGAGTATCCGCGAATATGTGGGAGCGCCAGAAAGTGCCTCCTGATGGCCTCCAAGACGGGTGCTCCTGCATACCCGGGGACATAGAGCATCCCCACGCGTATGAGGGGAGACGAAGTCATGAGGGGAGACGAAGTCATGACAGGAGGGGAAACCCCAGGGAACGAAGCCACGGACATAAGTCAAAGGCGGCACCAGGTCCAAGGTTCAGCTGCTTAGCCGCCATAGCGAGTATTTTTCTTCCCAGCCAGTGGTTCGAACAGCCGAAGCACCATGCGAGAAAGCGGAGGAATCACGAGGACCAAAACCTTGGGGGGAGACCGAGCTCATCAAGACGCCAGAATCCAAGGAGGACGCGCAGCGGAAGACAGGAATCGACTTCAAGGGTAGGCCGGTCGAAGAGTGGTGCTTCCAGGCACGAGAGGCGCCGAGGCGACGATCGCAGCGAAGAGGTATACTCATCCGGATTAACAAGGGGAGACTCGAAGAAGAAGAGTGAGAGCAAGCAAAATGAATGGAAATATAGCCCGGCCAAGTCCGTGAGAAGTTTCTTCAATCACAAGAAGGGACAAACACGTCACTCTCCCGATCAAAACGAACCTAACTTGAAGAAAGCCCCTTCTTTGTCTTCGGTGCCCTGGTTCCGCCGAGCGAGCACCCAGGTACCAAGTGTCGCTTGCGACCCCATCCTGGAAGCACAAGAAGAATACGTACCCCCTGTGCCGGAGAGAATGACCAGATGGCCGGATATCAGAGACCCTCGTGGTAGATGCGAGGCGTGGGTTGATGATTGTATGAGAGATCACCCGGCCGTTCAGGTGAGGAACAGCGCAGACAGACCCGAGTTTCAACCTGGGGGTTTCTTTTGATACTCAAAAAACTTACACAACTGCTCAGGAATAGTCTATTCCGTCTAAGGCGCAATGGACTTGGGCGTAATGGTTTGGTAGTCAAACTAAAGTATGATCTAAGGTGGAAAGATGGTACATTGCCTGTTAGGCAGTGCCTTAACCGATTGATATGTATGATGATACCACAAGCTCGAGTAAGAGAGCGATCACTGTATATTATTATCTCGCCACCCTTTAGATAGTCGATCGTTTATAGTAATACTAATTCCCTTTGTCAAGAACGTTTGTCAATTGACCGCGAGAAAGTACACAGAAATAACAAAAGGCACGAATTCTGGAAGCTCGCCATTCAGCAGCCAGTTTCTACAATATTCCACTGTTTTTTGAAATGGCCATGTATGTCGCCTCTTCTTGTCAGCTTGTATGGTCACGAAATGTTGCATCCATATCTTGCGGGGCGAAGCAAAATGCCTTCCTACAAGGGTCTGGCTGATCAACCCTGCTGTATCAGTTCGCGAACTGGATCATCGTGGCTGAGCTGCCATATCTCCATCAAGCGATAAGATTTTAGAGGTTACAGTATTTCCTTCTGGATATCTTTCTTTCTCTGCTGTTCTTGATTTATTGCAGTGTGAACACCTTCAAGCAACCACTTGATCCTCTACCCCTCTCATCCTCCAGTCCTAAATCCCACTCTCAAGAGGACACCCAAAGATTAGTCTCCTAACCTTCTTCACCGTTTACCAAGTAGAAAGGATAGGGCGAAAAGTGTAGAAGAGGATATATAGTAACCGCCCTGATGCCGATAAAGAAACCCCCACCTGAGAAGTCCCTCCCGAATGAGTACCCCGAATTCGACTTCGCTCTCAGGCGAGACACTGCGGATGTTGATTATATTCCCCGGATAGAAGGCGGCTACTTCCGCGCAGGGCTTCATCGTCCAAGTCGCCCGTCGACCGGCCTTCTACCTTATCAGTACTCCCCTCTCCCAAGCAGCAGCGAGTACGTCCGCTGCCTCATCCTGCAACCTGGCCAGGCGGATGATGATGTTGTCATCAGTCTAGAGCCCATCAGGCTAAGGGGGTCCGGTGACAAGAGCTCTGATGAGACCAAGACCGCCTCCTTTGAGGCCCTCTCGTATACTTGGGGCACATCCCGGCGAGATCGTCCCATCACCTGCGAGGGCGGCGAGATATTCGTCACACGCAGCCTGGACCTGGCCCTACGACGTTTACGCCGGTCGAAGGGCCCGCCCCGGAGGCTCTGGGCGGACTCGATTTGCATTCACCAGGCTGATCCTGATGAGAAAGGGGCTCAAGTAGCCCTCATGGGAGACATATACCTGCGAGCCGAGCGAGTCCTCATCTACCTCGGCGCACACGATTACGACCTCGCTAAAGAAGCCATCTCGCTTATTAGTGACATCAACACTACAAAGCTGCATGAAATCGTCTCCAAAGACGACGTAGCTATCCCATTCGCCCAGAACGATGATCCCATCATCGCCGATGAGCGCTGGAAGGCCTTCTCCCTCATGCTGCGCCAGATCTGGTTCACCCGCGGCTGGACCATCCAGGAGGCCTGGCTGGCCCAGAACGCCGTCGTCCTCTGGGGCGACAACGACCTCGAGGTGCCGTGGCTGGACCTCGTCCGCGCGTACCTCTGGGTCGAGGGGCGCGCGGCCAACGCCGGCCTGGGCCTGCGTCACGACCTCACCATGGCCGAGGTGCACCGCACCATGTTCGCGCGGGCTCGCCCGGCCGAGGCGCACGCACTGGGCGTGGATGACTGCGACGGCAGCTTCCTCGAGCTGCTCGAGCAGGCCCGCGTGGTGGCCATGACGGATCCGCGGGACCGCATCTACGCCTTCTTGTCGCTCGCGGCGGCGGCTGGCGGGGAGGGTGGCAGTGATGCCGACTTGATCCGGACTATTCAGCCAAACTACAAGGACTCCTTTCACCATTCCTACTTGGAGTTTGCTCGCAGTTACGTCCGCTCGTCCCGGGATGGACGCCTTTTACACCATGTGGTCCATGATGACGAGACACTCGCCGATACACAGCTCCCAACTTGGGTCCCGCGTTGGAATATTGGTTATTACAATTCACGTATCCCCATCGGCCCGACGTGCATGACCGTCGAACTTCTCGACCTCAGTCCAGTGGCTGGCCAGCCGGAAAACTCCACCAGCAACGATGCTGACAGTTCAAGCACCCGAGAATGGTGCCTGAAGACGCACGGCGTGCTCATGGACACCGTCACCTCGGTCATCTCCCTACCAGCGCCTGAAGCCTTAGAAATCGAAGAACACATCGTGCCCCTCCTCGCTAGCACGTGGTTCGATCTGGAGGAGGCCGTGGAGGGAGGCCCGCCCCTGGCCTACGCGCCTCACATGGTCACGACGGCTGTGCTGCGATGCCTGACCATGGGACGGCACGCGGGCGACCCTGAGACGTGGCCGGACCACATGCTCGAGTACTGCCAGCACGTCAAGACCTTGACCCTTGACTGGCTTCGCCGTCGCGGCAAGGTCGATGAGAGCGGAGACGAAGAAAAGGAGGACAAGACTGTGGCCCTGGAGGAGGAGGAGGGCCAGCAGCAGGTTAGAGAGTTCACACCGCCACAGGGAGAGGAGCCAGAGAGCAATCCTCAAGACTTTCTGGAACTCGTCGTAGCCGAGCTCGCCCGCCAGGGAATAAGTCTACCCGTAGGCAGCGGGGAAAAAGTAACAGAGAACGATCCTGCCTCAAAAACTCCCGAAGCCGAAGATCACCAGCAAGGGGGCCGGATCGATTCAAGCAGCGGCGTGGACAAAGTCCACGACATCGTAAAGTCGTCTACCCGCAACAGAGTCTTTGTGAGAACGGCAAGGGGCTACTACGGGCTGGCACCGGGTCCCACGACAGCCGGAGACGTCCTCGCCGTCTTGAGCGGAGGATATGTGCCCTTTGCGCTGCGCCCGGTGGCAGGAGGGAGACAAGATGGCAACGCTGGCTGCTTCAAGGTCATCGGGCAGACGTGGGTCGAGAGCGCGATGCTTGGGCCGGTCTGCGATGAGGGGCCAGGATGGCAGGACTGGAGGGCATGGGGCGCGGAGGAGGAGGAAATCATACTCTTGTAGATGATATGCTTGCCATCTCGAGCCCGCCCGTATATTGGAGAGCGCGCGAACTTGTTCTTGGGTTGGTAGATGTTTACCGAGTACATAATTGTCGCCTCGAAGGCCTGTCTCATTAAACTGATGTGATGGTATGTGCATTTTATAATTGACAGGTGCAATTCCTTGCCCAGTTGCGCTTCTTGAACCCTTGCCAACGCCTATGTCTTGAAAGATAAAGATAAGGTATAATATATTTTCCCAGGAAAGCTGTCAGCTCTGTAAACGCCCGTTAATTTTGGTTCTTGCCCATGGTCATCCAAGCCCCTTCGCTCAGAATTCTCGATTCATATCCAGACCTGTTCCTTAGTCCTCAACAACATTAATCTCGTATCCAATCAAAACTTCGGTGCTGCTGCCCTCCCAGCCTCTGGTTCCAGCTGCGCTGAGCATGTACCTGCTGGTAGGGTCGACGTATAGGCTTGAGATGACGCCGGCACGCGGGGGGCCGGGGATAATCAGGAACGGTACTGTAGAATGCTTAAATGCTCTAGTATCCCGAAGATCGTAAAGCCGCATGATATCATGCGAAGCACTAGCAAGAAGAACTCATCATTAGCTATCAGGTTGTGAAGAAAGGAAAAGGGGTTACTCACCAGACGAGATGTCGCCCATTGACCATAGGCTTTACTGCGCTCACGGCTCCGCTGCCGGCGGGGAATTTGAGCACCCGTTCAGGCTCCCACCCCCTCTTAGCCTTGCGCACGTCGAACTCCTCGACCGTGCCGTTACGTCTTCCAGCGTATATCATATTGCCGTCGGGACTCCAGCATGCGCTCATGCACCATGGCGGCACACCCACCCTGTTGCCAATGCGAGCCACAGGAGCCGGGGTACGTTTGTCCCAGATTCGGATGATACCATCCATAGCAGCGGATAGGAAGGTGTCTGGTGAGGTTTGGGAGGGGTCAAACTGCGTTTGGGGGCCTGATCCAGATAACAGCCTGGGAGACTGGGAAGCTCTTGAGGAGTTCTGCACTCCATTGACTTCAGTATCCTCCCGCTTGAGCTCCTGGGCTACCTTTAATTGTTCCGAGTCGAGCTGAGGTCCGTCAGTGGACGCCGATGGCTCCAGTTTGATGTCTTGACTCTGAGTCTGCGCTTGTGAGGGATCTTCGGACGGAGGGGGGACGACTGGGTCCACGTCCATGGCATCATCTTCAGGAGGAGGCGCCGGCACTGCAGGCGCAGTCTCCTTTTCTTTGCTGTCTTCCATGCCTGCCATGGCCATGTCTGCTGAATGGTCCATGCCACCTCCATGTTCATGACCCGACATCATGTTCATACCCCCATGGTACTCGTCTTCATCCTGGCCGAAAGGTTGTTCGCCAGCTGTTTCGCCAAATAGACTTCCGGCATCGCTACCACCGAACAGGCTCTCGTGGGCTGGGGATGCCTGGCTCTCTGCGCCGCCGTTGAATGATGCGGCACCATCAGCTCCTGGAGCGCCTGATCCCCTTGCGGAATCCCCATTGAGGAAACTGGTGCCGTTTGTGAATGGCTGAGCGTTGTTGGTTGAAATGGTGTCAGACAGGAAGGGCTCATCAGCATCGGCCGGGACAGGGTCCCCAGACGCAGGACGTAGTTCAAGAGCAGATATCTGACCACCGCTCCCTTCAAAGGACCGCTTGACCTGTCCCGTGTTGAGGTCCCAGTCAAAGATATTCTTATCCCACCCGCCGCTCAGCACGCTCCGCTCATCCTGTGCTAAAGATAGCACACTCACAGCATTTGTATGCTGCTGTAAGCATGTGATCTTCTTCCCCTCATCGTGCCTCACACTCTGGAGGTTGATGCCCCCCGACTCCAAGCCCGAGAGCAGCCACAGCGCTTGCGAGTGAACGGCCAGAGAATAGACAGGCGACAGCACCGGATCGTGATCGCCGCCGGCCCCTCGACCCGACGGCTCCTCGTTCTCCCAGTATGACATGAGGATGCCAGCCTTGGTGACACTGTCCACAAACGGGTGCCTCTGCGCAACAGTCAAGGCAAGCTTACCGTTGATAGTGCCCGGGCCATCGTACTTGCGAATGTAGCCGTCCGACCCGCCGGTGAACCAGTATCTCAGGTCGGGCGTGATGGCCATGGCGTTGACACTCGTGGCCTGCGGCGCCGCCATCGTGGGGACAATGTCGTATAGGCGGGCGTTGAGGGCTTCTGGGCGAACAGACGGCCGGAACGGTCCTGGCTGTGCGTCTTGGGAACCCTTCGCATCCCCGTTGGAGGTGGAGGTGCCCTCATCCTCGCCTTCTCCCGAGGCCCCGTTGTCATCGCCTCCATCCGCCGCTGCTTTGCTCGACGTGGATTTGCCGTCCTGCTGCGTTTGCGACTGTGACTGGGACGGCGACTGCGCTTTCCGGTGCCCTTCCTCGCCCGCGGGCTCTGCGTTCTCCCCATCAGCGCTCTCGCCATCATCGTTCTCGTCGTCGTTGTCCTCGTCATCATTGTCGTTGTCATTGTCCTCGTCGTCGTCCGCCTCGCCGTCCGCGTCTCCATCCGCGTCTCCATCTCCATCCGCATCCGCATCCGCATCACCGTCGGCGTCTACGTCTCCCTCGCCGTCGGCGTCGGCATCGGCATCCTCCATTACCTCGTCGTTCTCGGCATCGTTGTCGTTCTCGTTGCTTCTGTCCAGCTCCGGCGAGCTACCAGAGAAGTGGTCTTCTTCATCCATCTGCCAGGTGCTGTGTGTCTGCGCACGCGATCGGTTGTCGTCGGCGATGAGCCAGCCCCGTCTCAATTGAAGGGAGGTCACTCAGTGGCTTTCCAGCCAATCGCTGTGTGGCGCACTGCTGCCGCAGGAAGGCGGTCGCCCCGGCTCTCCAGCCAATGAGATCGTTCAGAGCTTAACCTGCGCGTAAGGTCTAGGGTACGGGAGAAAGAGTTGGTGTATAAACTAGAAAAAACAGCATTCAAGATGCCAGACTTGACATCTCAACGCAATGAATACAAAAGGCTGAAAAAATAATCTCTGCTATCCCAAGGCTGCAGTCATGCAGAAGGAAACCTCTGGAAACCCTTCATACCGATGACTCGCTTGCCATCGAGAGGTCTAGGGTACTTCATTTTACTCGGGACCATAGACAACAAGGTGCCTTAGTTCAGGTACCGAGAGTTTAAGTCTAAATTATGGCTACCTATGTAACTTGTCAGTCTAAGTTGAGTGGCGCAAATCATGTTTGAATTTTACTTTAGACAGAAGACACCAGCTCCTCTCGAGCAGAGGTCGAATTGCATAGAGTACGCAAACATAGAGAGGCAGGATGTATATTCCGAATCGCTAGTCACTTCATAAGCATGAATAATGATTGATTGTCAAATGGGTTATTAGATATGCCGATTAGCATCACAAGAAGCGAGCTGACCAAATTTCATCCGTTAAATTAACACAAGTCCATTATGCCTCGAACATCGTAGCCGCAACTCTCGGAGTCCCACGAACCGAAGGGGGCGAACCGAACACACAATCTCATCTCGGAGCGAGCAGAGACACCGACAACTTGGGACGGACCAGCTTTGAGACAATCTTACAACTTGAGCTCAGCCTTCGAGCAAACCCCGTAGCGCCCCCAAGCCAGCCGGGGGTGGGAAGTGAGAGAAAATGAGCAGGTGATGGGTGCAAGCGGCCGCGCAGCAAGGGTGATCCTGCCCTCGCTGACAGCAGAAAGGGACAAGGCCAGCCGAGTTGAGAAGACTCGACAACTCGATTGAGTATGACGCCAGCCCTGGCCCGGGGTTTGCCTATCAGAAGGCAAAAAATAAAAATCTCTTGGCCACGGCAACTTCCATGTTCAAGGATATCCTGGGAAAGAGAGACGAGAGGGGAGAGACGACTAACCCACGAGCGACAAGCAGTTCGCAATGTCCAAGCGCCCAACGGCCGGTTCATCCCTCCCACCCCCCGCAAATCAGCGGGAAGCGAGACACTTCTCTCGTGCGGCCGTACGTGTGCCTTGATAATGGCATCTGAGACACATCCCGAGGCAGAACAGCCAGTCTCCATCTCCAAAGTCCACAATAGTTCGTCCATCTCGACAAGCAGCAAGCGCTTCTCTTGAAGAAAGGCCCTTTTACCTGGGTATCGGAAATTGCAACCGCTAGGAGGTCTCCAGTACAGCAGACGCACCCCCCTCCCCATCTAGCGCAAGGGAAGCGAGTGAGCTAAGACGGAGCCTGGTCGAATCACTGGGGGGTTCCGCACGCATGCACCCATGAACCATGGCCCGTGGAGTTTTTGCGAGAGATGGGGGCCCAGCTATTCCCAAAGCAAGACCACGGAACGAACTGATGGGCATCTCAAAGAGGAACTGGCCTTGAGTGAGGAACTCGTCGTTCTCGCAAAAAGGCCAAACCCGTAAAATTCTTGGGCGCGAAAGTCTGCTCCAAAGGGGGCTGCGGGCAGGGGGCTGGCACTCATCTGAGACAGACTTGATGCGCCTTTGCTCTATCGCAGCGTCAATTGTGTGGCCCGGCGCATGTCACGCAGGCTGCCAGATCCGGTCCAACAGGGGGGGCTCCAATTCGTTCCAAACTGGTTCGCTGGTCGTTCGTCGCCTGCATAATCCGAACGCTACGCTGCAGCAGTGTGTACCTTACATGTAAGCCTGCCATCAGACATTCCATTCCAGAGCCGCCCACAGCTATGTCTGCAGGAAACCATGAAACAAATACCACCCTTCCTCTCCCCCTTCCCCCCACGTGGACCGGCCAGCTCCCGCGACACGCACGAGGAAGGGAGGGGGGGGAGAAAAGGACTCCAGTCAGCAAAAATCCAACGTGCGTGATCTGGTTCCGGCCCTGCTTCCCGAAAGCCGTTTCAACAAATCCCTATCGCCTCACACAATCACCCCACAAGGCGGTTCGCTCCTTTGACTCGCACATGTGGTTCTTAAGACCCTGAAGGTTTCTCGCGCCCCCCACCTCTAACCCCTTGAATATTCCACCTGCATCTGCCATATCGTCATTCCCACGAGTCCCCACGCCCTGGAGCCTCTTCTCCTAACGTTGGGAACCATCCGTCGGTAGGGGTTCCCAATCTGGATTGTCTGTCCCCCCCCTGCCTCTGCTTCCCTGATCGTTCTATCACATTGCCGTACTGGATCACGTACTGGCGATTTCGTATCTTTTCTCTAGCCGAGCCAATCAACCAGCCCACCCTGCCGCGGACCCAAACCTTGTCGATTCAACGCCCGCCAGCAGACATGACCTGGCTCGGTCTGATACCTCGGTCTCCGGTAAGAGCTTGCAACTAGACGTTTCGTCATAATGAAAGGGACAATGAGAAAAGTTTCCAAAGTACTTCTATATTGTTTTTTTATGGTGCGATCCATATTCCTACACAAGACAACAGGATAGCTCTGCCAAGAACGCTAGAGTATGCTCTCATCTTTCATAATATCCTTCCCGATATATACCATTGATTCTATGCGTATCAAAGATAAAGCCAATTCGGAGCCCATCCGATCGCGTCCCAAATATAATCCCCCTTCATTGATCCCACAATATAGTAAAAAAAGGAAAGATAAGAAATAAAATAGAAATAGAGTACCAAGCATGTGAGGCGGGCAAGTAGGCAATAAAATTTCATAACGTGTAATCAATATTCATCCCATTAAAACTCCTTTTTTGGTCCAATAATTAATCCAAAAGCTCTCAAACAATGTCGATTGAAATTAGAGGGTGCGGCAGGGGACGAGGTTTTCCCCCCGTCTTCATTCAGGCGGAAACAGCTGTGCTTTGACATAGGAAATGTAGATGCGTAATGCAATGGAAAAAATAAGAGGAAATCTGACGCAATGAAAACGTCTTGACAAGAGAGTCAGGGAAGGCGGACCTTCCAGTAGTTGTTGAAGAACACCAATGTTCCCTCGATTATGTTCTCGTCCAACCGGTATATCGATCATCATTATCCCGGTTGCCTGCAAATGAGTCGTGCAATTCAACCATCGCAAAAGCAAATCGTGAGTCCCTCGGTATGTGAGCTCAATAGCCAGTCCTAGAACAGAAGTAGGCCACTCAGTAGTATACACATTATCGGCAGGTGCTAAAATGAGAGACTTGTTTCAAATCCAACGCTGAAACTTGGGGTAAGTGGGATACCCCATCGTAAGAAGTGGCGATCCACTGATAAGAGCTTGCTTATGAGGCGACACGGGGATCACCAAAATATTGCATCATTGGCCAGCCTCCACCCTGTGAGCCTGGAGTAGGCGTAGCATTTGATGAATCGTCCATCACCAGGCCGGACCCGCTCTCCCAGTCCTCGAAGACAACGGGCGTGGGGGCGTACTCGAAATCCATCCCGCCATCTCCCTCGCCTTGGCGCGTCTCCTGCTTGATGGCTGGTGATTGAGTCGGCGCAATTGGTGAGTGGGTCGAGGGAAGAGGCGAGTGAGATGTCGAATCAGGAGGCGAGGACCTGGTAGGCTGTCCAAATGACTGGGGGTTCATGAACATGTTGCCCTGGAAGGCGTGAGCGTAGGGGTTTTGGGCCCCGCCAGCTTGTGAGGTGCTTGGATCTGCTGACTGCATCATCGCCTGGGGTGGGAGTGGTGCGAAAGAGATTCGTGGGTCCTGAGAGTAAGGGTGAGCCTGAGGCTGTTGCTGAAATTGAGGAGGGCCAAGCTGAACGTTGTCCATCACAATATCCGCCAAGTCGTAGGCCACGCTGACAATCCACTGGGCGTCAGCCTCGTCGCCGGAAAAGAACTCCAAAAGATCCTGTAGCTGGCCTGGGTTCTCCTTTTCTAAGAAGCCCTGAGCACGGCCAGTCTTGCTGGGGTGCCAACTGAATCTCGGCCGGCGGCCACCGTAATCAGACTGCTTGCTGTTGACAAGCGCATCCCAAGCCTCATGAATAAGGGGCTGGTGAAGCAGACCGTAGACCACACGCGAGTGCATCCACTCTCCCTTTGTCATACCAGACTCAAAATGCCTAGCCACATGCTCAACGTGTCGCTCCCGAGCAGGGTGAAGGGCAGAGCAAAAGCCACAGGCCCAGTACTTGCGCTTGCGGAGGAATCGAACAACCTTCTCGGCGTGAGGGCAGGTGGTGCATCCGTGGCACTGCTTGTGGTGCTGGTTGAACGAATTGGATCCCCAGAAGCTGCGGTTGCAGCCAGGCTCGGGGCAGGGGTACTTCCTCCAACGCTCGTGAAATTCGTCCTCGTGGCGCTTCCAATCGTACTTGCGTTTGAAGCTCGTTTCGCACGATGTGCACCAGTAAATGTTCTGCTTGTTAGCTGGTGATCCCCCGGCTGACACGGGAGGAACCGAATTCGGCCCGGCCATCATATGTCCGCCGGTTGGCGAAGTCATCTGAGGCGGCAATGGAAGAGGCGCCTGCATGCGGGAAGAGCCCGCTGAGGCCCATGACATGGAAGACTGTGCCGAGTGGTTAGACCAGATGGAGCCGGTTCCAGATGATCCCGAGCTGGTGGACGAGACGGAAATCCGAGGGCGATGAGCAAACGGAACGGCAGCAGGATAAGCAAAGAGCGCTATTCAAGATTAATCGTGTTAGTAAGATTCCGAGGAACGGGCGCAGAGACAAGCAGAACATGGCAGAAGAAATGAATTCATAGTAAACCGTCAATGGGTCAGTAAACGTACAAGACATGTCCTCCGGGAGGGGTGGCGGCGGGGGCTGCATCTTCACGTCCGTCGGCGGTGTCGTGTGGCCTTGAGGGTGATGCTGCTGCGTTGGAGGTGGAGGAGGAGGGCATTGCGGAATTGGCGGGATCGTGAGGTTGGGCGTCTGTGATTGTGAGTGAGGCGACTGAGGTGAAAGCGGCGACTGCTGCTGAGGTTGCTGTGGTTGCGATGGCTGAACGAGAGACGGAGTGCTCGGGATGGTCAGCTGGAGCGATCCACCGCCATCAACCAGTTGATGGAGGAGATCCCTCGAAAGGCCAGAATCAATCAGGACCTGCAGATTCTTTCTGGCCTCGGCCAACACATCCTGGGGCTGCTGCTGCTGCTGCTGGAGGTGCTGAGGCGTCGTCGGCGTTTGGTGGCTCGGCGCCTGGAGATGCTGTTGCTGCTGCTGCTCATGGTCATGCGACTGCTGGGAGAGCTGCTGGTGATGCTGGTGGTGATGGTGGTCCATGGTGGGCGGAAACGACGGCGCAGGCAACAACGGTGGCGGCTCACATTGGCGGCCACGGGGCCGGGCAACAGACGAAGCGAATAGATTGAACGAATGGACGACGGCAAAGATAGCGTCAATAGGTCAAGGCGGATCAGCTAACGGATCGCTATGCGGCGATAGAGAGTGAAAGCGCAAGCAGACAAAAAAGAAATTGGCAGCAAGCAGTATCGTTGCTCACCAAGCGGCGGCGGCAGTTCAGGTGAGAGTTGTGAGGGCGGCAGAAACGGTGACGGGAGGGTTGAAGAGAAAAGCAGTCTGGCGGGAGTATGGTTGCAACGCACGCTGCGTGCTGGGCCAGTCAAGGCTCTTGGGTTTGGCTCTGGCCTGGCGTTTGTCCTGTGGCCTGTGTGTCTGTGCGTCTCTCTGCGTGTGGGGGGGGGAGGGGGCGTGTGTATGAGAGTGCGGGTAATAGCAGAGGTGGTGGCGTCCTCGCGACGGGAAGGGGACCAACGAGAAAAGAAGGGGAAAGTAGGGGTGGAGGTGTCCATCCAGGGACCACGACCAAAAGCAGAGGCGCACTCCGTGTGAGGGATCCCCGTCGCTGCTGGGCTGCTGGGAGGGGGCGCCCAAAGGGGAGCGATGATGGGGCCTAGAGGGGTTCAGTGACGAGGGCAGAGAAGAGCACGAGGAGAAGGACCCGGAGGCGACGGCAGACAAGGACAGACACTGGGGCCTGGGTGCAATCACAGTAATCAATTAGAGGCAAAGAGGGATCCACGTCGTCGAGGGAACCAGGGGTTAAATTGACGGCAGCGTTGCACACGATGATACTAATACTGGTGCTGAAAAGCGTGTTGGTCCAGGAAAGGGTTGGTGGTACCTGGCGAAAAGGTACCCGGCCGAAGCTGGTGCCTGAGAGGTGAGACTGGGAGAGCCTCCTGGTCGCCCGCCTCCCAATTGATCCTGCCAGGGGCTTGCAGCGTGGCGCCTGAGCTGGTGCAGCGCCCAGAAGATGGCAATTTACAGCTACGAGCTCTCGCCCTCTCGGATTGCCTGCACGCTGCGGTATTGCCGACGGAGTACAGGCAGGAAAAAAACCATAGATGCCGTGTGACACCGCCCAAGAGGGGATGGGGCTTTTTTAATTACCATCCGGACGATAATATGGCATTTGCAATGCAAATTTCACGGCGGCTGCTCTTTGCTGATGCGGAACCAGAGCAAGCGAAGATGACGACGCGGTTCATCAGCACTGGGCCACGGGTACCTAGTATGCATGTATTTAACTTCCTGGGATGAGCATCGATTCCCTCATGCCGCCTGGTCGCTTTACACCAGTATCCCTTGCCATGCGCATGAACCGGGCCTCGTACAGAGAGTGCAGAAGAGAGAGATCCTAACTGGAGTGGGTCAGGGGTGGATATGCCATGTCATGGGAAAGGGGATATGAAGAGTCTAGGCACAACATCTTCCCCCTCTCTTCTGCAATTCTCTGAACATGCATGCTCCTGCCGAGCGTGCCCAGCGCACTCTCGAGTTCGGAACCCCAAGCAGGAGCATGTGCAGCAGAGGTGCGTGGTCAGAAGTGGTAGTAGCATGGCAGCAAGATACTCCTAAAAATGGTTGCATGGGCGGGTGCGTGGGAATAGGCTGCCAACCCCGACGTTCCTCGGACAGCCAATTACCAAGGTCCTCTGCTCTGAAATCAGAGCCCATTGGGCTGGTTGCCTCCAACTTCAAAGGCGTCTAGCTCGCAACTGTCCCGAGAGAAATGATGAACGTCTATATTATCTGTGGAGTGCTGAGCCAGCTAGCTCCCTTTCTGCTGCTGCTCGGTCCCGTCTAACCAAACGCCGCCTACATCACTGCTGCTTCGTGCTGGGCGAGTTTGCTGGCAGGGATGGGCTTTTCAATGGCATGATACGCGGGCACGCAAAACATCTCTGCTTGCCAAGAAGACCCGGAGCCGGAGAGTCGCAGCAAGAACATTCCGCTTCGTTTCCGCATCACTGTCTGTCATCGTCCCCAGTGTTGGTGGATGCTGGTCCTCGCTGCTGATCTTGGTGTGTGCCGGTCATCTTAATGACCTCATCCTCCTTCGCGGACGATCCAAGTCGCTCGCAAAGTGGAATCATGGTTACAATGGGTCCCCTTTGTTCCTGCACGCCGACGCTGCTGTGCCTGGATCGACTAGACCAGGGAGCCCGGCTCCCAGCTCCTACGCACCCGCGCTAATGTCGCCAGCACGATGCCGGTCCCAGCAGAGCGAGTCGACTCGACCCTCTTTTGCTGCCGAATCGAATCCACCTTGGGATTCGAACAATCATTGATCTTTCCTCGAGATCTTCGACAGATGCAACGCGCAGCGCACGGAAGCCCAGCTGAGCCCGTCCCGTCCAGAAGGGCCTGGCAGGGCGAGTTATGGGCGATATCGGGGGCTGCATATCTTGGATCGCCATTTTAAATGACGCCGTCTATATATGGCTACATGGGGGATGCATGCATCAAATAAGCTGCACAACCCTCTTCCCCGTGTGCAAATGCGCGTGCGCTGCAACTTTGGACGTGCACACCTACACCACATCCATCAGCAGGGTGCAACATATTTTTTCCATTTGGCTTTTTTTGCCCACCCAAAGAGCGCTGTGCCTGAAAAGAATCGTCCAAAATTAGGCCAGGCACAAGCGCCATACCCTTATGCCTAATTGGGCCTTCAGCTGGAGATAAGCTTCTGACGGCGCCTTTTCACTGGACGAGAATCTCGGAGGTCGCTGATTGCTGGCGCCGACGAGCTGCACTATGCTTCTGTAGGTGGTAGCACATGCTGCAGTGTTGGAAGCCGCCGCCCGGAAGGAGATTTACCCCATGCATCATTTTAATTGCAGTCTTGACAGCGCACGTAAATGGCTCTCATGGCGCGCGCGAATGCAGGTGATTGTCTGCAGCTGTCGCCAGGAGATCGGATATCGTATCATCATCTACAAATCAGAAAAAGATACATACCTTCTGCTCGTAGCGCACCAGGCACACATTAGTCAGGCTCATTGAGGATCACTGAGTAATATGAATCGGGAAACCCCCACCATAAATCCGCACTAAACAATGTCGATGTGCGCAGGTTCGCCCACCTCATCTTGTGCTACACATGTTCGTATCCGGACTCCCGCCCCAGCAGCCTTGGGACACGCTCTGCTCGCTTCTGGCAACACCCGCGATCTCGTATGCGTCTGCTGGCGGGCCTCCAGGCAGCCGAAACTCGACAGGGCTGGGTCCGTGCTTGGCCCTCTAGTCGTCTGTCTTGCAGATGTAAAACCGTCGTGCCTCAAGATTTCTCCGAGACGACGCACCTGAAACATTCGACGTCTGTGCTGAGTGAGTGCGTCTCTGTCGGTCAGCTGGGCAGAGACGGCTCAGAGCTGACCTCGAGACTAGCAGCCGTCGGAAACCAGCCAAGCAACAGCTCAATGTGCTAGCACCTTTTAGACCAATCAGGCGGCGCCCTACGCGGGATGCCGAGCGTTTCAAGCCAGGGGTGTGATGCCATTTTCTCAGCCATCGACGCCAAATTGGGGGGAGAGGGTCATCGTGAGGCAGAAAATGGCGAGAAAACCAGAGTCGCCGTGTATCATCTGCCTCAAACAAGACCCCTTCATTCCCACAATGTCAGAACTAGCAGCAACCACATCCCGAGTCCTGTCACGATGCCTTCATTCATTCCGCGACTGTCATCGTGGACCCAACGATGGCGATCTCGGGGGGTGAGAGGCCGCCGTCCTGGGCGCAGGCTCTCTTCAGCGCCGACCACACCGCATCGAACTGTGTTGCCTGCCTCAGTTAGCAAAACAACCACTGCACCTCAGCTGCTCTGGATCCATACACACAATCATGGTGTGGCTGCATGTGGTGCACATCAGTCGTGCGGCTGGGCTGGTGACGACGAATTGACTTTCCCAGTGCCCACCATTGGCCGGCACAAGCCGTTGCGGCCGCGATTTCCAGAAGGAAAAAAACAACAACACGAGGGATTTGCACTCGATCCTACAGGCCCTGCAGGGCTCGTTCTTCGGATGGGAGGCTGCTCACTGCAACCCGGAATCCAGGTCTTTCCCACAGGGGGGGGACCTATAAGAGCCAAACCCCGGAATTCAAAATGGCCATCCAGAGCAAGGTACCTGGATGGGAGGTACTCGATCCTTTCTTGGGAAGGATCAGCCTGCTGCATTAGGGCGCCGTATAGGCATTGTTTTTTTTTTTCTTTCTCGTGGGACTAACCCCCTCTAGGTACCTGGCTAAGCAAAGATGCTTGCTATTAAGACACCCCTGGTGATGGTTGGCAGCCCCAAGTACATAACAACAAGCAACAGCTTATCATGTCCAGCTCACTGGGTAAACAGATGGGGAATTAGTCATGCGCGACATAAATGCTAACAAGTCTAAAGTAATAGGACAAAGAAAAATAAAGCCAATTCCCATGCAGCGCACGGTTGGTAAAGGTAGGTAAGATAATTAGTATGCGCAGCCCTTTCATCCCACCCATATCTCCCACCTCCAGAGGATGACGTGATGAATAAAAGCCATGCGTAAATAGACACACAGTCAGTCACAAGTTCCGTTCCCCCCGTTCCATGCAGAAGCCATCGTACATCCTGGGAATCCCATCCTGGGCCTTGCGTACCTGAATACCACCCTACCACAGTCATGTCAGCCAAGCCTCGATAAGGTAAACATTTAGTCTTCTGGGCAATTGGTTGTGTGGACCGTTCGTTGCCTCGGTCTTTGATCCCGACTGGGTTCTCCCAGCTTTCTCAGCATTTGGCAAGCAGACGCCCGGGCGCATCACACAACTGGCAGTTTCAGTTGCATCCAGGACCCCCAATCAACACCCCAATAAACCCTCGATTAAATGCCAATTCATCAAGCCCCCAAGCCGTATTTGGCTTCATGCTTGTCTCGTTACCTAATTCGTCATTCTCGTGTGTTGGGGAAGAGGCGTTCGGAGCTCCGTGGATCAGCCCTGA